CACCCTCCATGAGCCATACATTAAATTCCCTTGTTGCTTGCCATAATACAAATTAATTTCAGAGGATTCCCGAGCTAAGAATTCTACCGACGGCAGTAGTTTCCGTGTGACCCCATCCCCAGCCATGTCCACTGCCGACCGGCGGCCGCAAGCCACCACCGCTACAGCCACTTGTTTCGTGCCCTTCCCACTTGAGCATACTACCTTCTATGACTTTCAGCTTTAGTGCATTGTTCTATTTGGTTGTCCAGATGCAGGGATCAGATAAGCCCAGGAGAAGAAACTGTCTTGCAGCAGAACAGACCGCCGAGTGTAGTGTACTGCCTGGAGTGCAGCTAAATGAAGACTGCTGAAACTGTAGTTCAGAAGCCGCAGACAGTGCACGGAATAAGAAGCGAAGGAACTAAGGGCAAATAAACCCCCTTTAACACAAAAAGGAGGGACGAGGCAAAAACGTAGTTGGTTACGACGTTTGCGCCCGCAAGTTAGCAGTCATGCTCAAGGTATCTGTCTCCATCATTTGCTGTACGTATTGCGTCAAGGTTCGATCAAATAAGCGAACTACTTCCATGCTTNATCTGTCTCCATCATTTGCTGTACGTATTGCGTCAAGGTTCGATCAAATAAGCGAACTACTTCCATGCTTCGCATTCTGTATAACGTGAGGGCAAACTTCATGCGGCACTTGTTTACGAGCGGAACACGAGAAGAAAGTTCAACTTTTGTGAAAGTTCAACTTTTGTGCTTCAATTGAAGGCTGAAAAGGGCCGTTTAAATACCTCAGAGTACAAAATCAAGAACCTGAAGAACACAATACACTTGTAGGCAACAAGCGAATAAATCTGGTGTTTCGAAGGCATTATACTGGCACGAATATATGCAGCTACACCTGTCCGCCGGAGAAACATTGGCATCGTACAGTGGTCGTAGTGAAACCACTCCGTCAACAGATGAATGGTGTTTGTCAGATCCACTCTTTTGCTTCGTGACTGCGTGCGGAATCTATTGAAGCTTTGCTGCGAGGCCTTTCAGTCATCGCGAATTCTCACCACTAGAGTTTCAAAATTCGTGTTGCCACTGTTAGTGAATCAAACTAACCGTCTCGCCAGGAACACAGCGTTCGTTATATCATATGCATGTGACGAGAATCATCTGTCTGTTTAAATATCCTTGGGAGCGCACTCAAGAAGCGTTTCACTTTCACAGACGTATCACGAGGCAATACACGACCTCTCTAGCTGCGAAGATTCTCAAAGTGACTCAGGTACAAACGCCATACAGCACAAAAAAGCAATCCGCTGTGAACTAGACGGGTAAGGAAGGAGTGTACAGCGGAGCATGCTTGCATGCGTCATTGTCCCTCATTAGCTCAGATACCCAACAATGCATTTTCTGGAGGACGGTGAGATGGCCTGTTGTGATTATTCAACGCTGATAGGAACACTGTCCTAGGCAAGGAAGCGCTACAAATACTTGGGCATCACCTAAGCATGCTTAAGCACGGGTCTCACAAGGTAGTACTTGGGTGCCTGCGAAAGTGCCAGCCGTCACTTGTCGATTGTTCTATGCTTCTGTGTGCTTTCTAAGCAGAAGAACCTGGGGCATCACTACACTCACGGATACCCAGTATCTTCCTATTTCAAGAGACGAGATATAGTGAAGCAGTTATTAGCATAGCTAGATTCTGTGCAAACAAGGCAGAAATGCGGTGGTTGCCAACAGGACTGAGCAGTAGTGCTGTACACTGACTGTACACGTCCTCACTGAAATTACCATTAACAGGTATGATAAACGGGCAGGAAGTATCCCCACTAGAAGAGCAATGAAACGCAGTTGAGCAAACTTGAATCATCAGGGAGTATTCTGGTGCGTCCTTTCTACTCAAGCGTAGGCAGCTCGCTCGTTTGCTTTTGAGCCCAGAATAAACAAGCTTTAAACCGATGGCAGTGTAAACCGATTTTTTTTGCGCCATTCAGTCCCTACCTGACCGCTTTTCAGGCAGGACATGTAAAGTGATCAGATGAGTCAAACAAGTTTGGCAGAAGCCTGAGCGTGGCACAACTCGCACAAAAGGCGCCACCGCTGTTCTTGACAGACACTGGGCTGCCATGTCCACCGCAATATGGTTCGCAGCCGCGTGTACCCACGCCAAAACAAGCACAAAGCGGGTCCATTGAGCACGGCAAGAAAGTATTGTCCCCTACACCCTCATCCCCGCATATTGTTGCATCGACAGCGCGGTGCGCTGGAAACGGCGGTAGGATGCTCGTTGTTCCTAATGAGCTACACATTTCGATCTGAGCTCCTGCTCCAGATTTAGCGTCTTTCACTCCATCTGGGCGGTTGGCATACCCATTACGTGTCGACGCCTCACTGCTGCCGTGCCTTATAGAATGCCTTCCCCTTGACCTAGCCTATCACAGCAAAGTCGACAAAAATGACTCCTGCGTTTCTGTAAGTCACTACTGAGGCCTTCGGGTGTACGTCTGTTCAAACGTCTGTGATTTCTGGTGGAAAACAAACCCCGCCCCTTGCACGCGTCCTTCATCCTGTAACTTCTCAGCTTGCCCAGAACCGCCCTGGAATTCACTGAAGTGCTCCCTGCCCCGAAAACCCCGTGCAACATCCCCTTCAAAATCCGGGAGCGGCCAACCGGAAACATAGGCATCAGTTGTACGACTCACACCCGCAGGTGCCCCGTCTGGGTAAAGGAGGCTGCTCGTGCTAACGGGATCCATGTGCTCTCGCAAGCTTTCTGAAGTCGCAGGGTGTTCTGTGCTCAGCTCAGTTAACTTTTGCTCATTGGGAGCCGCTTGCACCCTGTGCATACGTCCAGTTATACCAGATGGTCTCGGTTCACCCTCCGCAACCCCGTAGAAAACCCTCCCAGCAGATGCGGCTTCACTCTGCTGTTCTGCCCGGTAATCCATCATCGTCCGGTGTCCCCTTGACGCCTTTACGCGCCGCACGATTGCGGACTGTACTGTGGGGAAAGGCGCAGCCAAGTGCGTCCCAGATAGGGGACCTGAAAGTGGTATCCCTCCTTCGAAACTGGCTGTACTTTGGTTGGATAAATACCAGGAAGTTGAGAGGTGGGCAGACTGCTGCTCCCTTCTGTGTCCAGAAGGCTCACGCAGTGGTTGGCCTGGAGGGCCGCGGAGAGGTGCCAGTGGGCCTTGGTGAAGGAACATCCGAAGAAACTCGGGGTGACAGGGAGCAGGCATGACATTCGAACCAACCGCTCTCCCTGGGCTCAAGCTGTCATCTTCCGACGCAGAGGAAGAAGCGCTGGAGGGGTGCAGATCGGTTGAGCTGGTTGCTGCAGTCGGAGTCAGGTAAACACCGAATGTGGGAGGGGCCAAAGCGAATTGCCTCGCATCTGCTGTAGCATGATATCGAGGCGTACTCGCTACAGCAGCAGGATTGTTTCTCCGTCCTGTTGTGCCCAGTATGTGAGTATACACCTCTTTCAACTGCGCGACAAGCACACTTATGGGTGTCAAACTATTATCTAGAAGGAGTTGCCGCCCCCTTTCTCTTTCCACGACGTGGTTGGGGCCCCCCAACCGTAGGTATTGTGCCACCCACGGTCCAAGACCGTGGTCTCCAAGAATCTGTGTTCGGCGTTTATGCCGCAACTGAGTCATTGCCGTTAGCATTTCGTTCACTGCCTGATTTGATGAACCGGTTCCCTTTTCTGACCACTGGAGCAGTCCTCTCAGCAGGGTAAGTGAAGTATTCAAGAACACAAGCTGGACCAACCCCAGATGCTGCAGTCTTATCCTGCACTGCGCTGTACCTAGCGTACATGTTTCGGGGAGCTCCAGCAGCTGGTTGTTGAGTTCGCGCAGCCGACTGACCCGGCGAAATGCGTTGTCCCCAACCGCAGAAGTAGGAAACCGTTCGAGGATGCTGCTGGCCAGATTGGAGGCCGAATTCGTGAGTTGTACTCTACGTGTCACTAGATGATCTGGTAGCATCCCGGAAACCGCGGCAAGCTCCTGCGCACTGCATATCAAGTAGAAGCAAGCGATTCGAGCTTGCAACAGAATCCCCCGCCCTACAGAAAGAATTCTGCAAGTGCGTTGCAGTTCTTCCAGTAGGTCGAACACTTTGTGAATTCTCCCATATGTCACATCTTCTGGCTCGAACTCAGATACGCCGATGTTGTTCCGTACCAGCTCTGGATTGCTTTCAATGCCACAAGCTCCAGTAAGCTTGTAGTCCGAGGATTCTGCTAGCGATCTTTGAAGTCCATCTAGGGCTTTAACGCCGCCCAATTCAAAGGCACATTTCAGGATAATAAAGGCTGCTGCTAGCCCCGCAACAACGACAAGCCTCTCCACTAGCAATGCACGCCACAGTAGTTCCCGTCGTCCACGGCGAACCAACCGAGCAGGGGACCTCAGCCTTCTCCGGGAAAAACTGGGACGCGCTTTTTCATCGACGTTGAGAACGAAGGTGGGGTCTTCATCCGCCTCTGTGGCGGCAACGGATCGGAAATATGTCGCATCTGCATGCATCTTCTCCCCTCGTAGAACTCCCATAAAAGGCAGATTGGATTTTTTAGCGGACCCAAGCTGATTTTAGGTAATCCACTATAACTGTCATCCCCCTGGTTGCTTTGAGAAAGATATTTGCAGTCACAGTCGCTCCGTACAGCGACACATCCCAGCGTTCACCCGCTCCTTAGTGTGGCATATGGGGGCCATAACATACAGTCTGATCCTCCCTGATCTAAGCAGAGATTATTTTACTGCGAACGAACGGGCCATGCGAGGTATCTGTGCTGGCCAGCGTTCTAGCGTTGGAGCACGGACACTCCACAACACAAAATCAGCCAACCAGAAAAGTAAAATTTTTGGCATTCGCTCCGACGATGTAAAGATATGGGAGCAAGTGCTCCTCCAAAAGTACGGAGTACAGCGTTTGCCGGTGCTGCCTCGTGGTTTGCCTCGTGGTTTGCCGCGTGCAGCCTGTGTGACCATCAATGAAAGTACGTCATCCACCAAAGCTCAGCAGCTTCCCGCTGCCTCTTCAGCTATCTCTGCGGCGAAACACCAGGCAATAATGCCCTCTGGACTCCTCTATTATGAGCCCGGGGCTCTGCTGTCCAGCGGCAACGCACTGCACTGTGGGGTTGAAAATCGCAGTCACATAATGCAGTACAAACAGTGGATCCAACATAAGTGGGCTTAACAGACGGAGTCGCAGAGACGGCGAGCGGCAAGAGTATCAAAAGGAAACAACAGCTTTGGGAGTTGGATAGGACTGAGCAGCACTGGCGTCGCAGCAATTCAACTAGAATTACTTGGTAATTTAAGGGCAAGCTTAAGCAGGACATTTATATACATAAAGAGCAGCATCAATATTCCAGAACACATACGATATACGGTGGTACGACTCCTGTCGCAGTCGCAGTTGGCTGCGCTCGAGGCGTCGGGGCTCATCGACGAGTAGGGTTTTATGGTCCAGCCAGATGTGCAGATCCATGTGTCTGGTGTTATATCATATGCGTATCCTATTCAAAGTGCAGAAGGAAAGTTTTAAGCACTCTTTGGCTCTCAAAGATTGAAAAGGCCTGATGCTTTTGGCGCACTCCAGAGTGGTCACGAGGTCGGGCACGCTGCACGGGAAACAGGCGTAGCCGAACTGTTGTGCTAGTCGTGTGCATATGCAGCTGGATAAGTTAGAACAATTTTTTAAAAACTTGACCTGGCTCTCCAAATTCAGTACAGAAAGATGTGATAGCATTCTAAGATAAGTGGGAGCTCATCTCCTCCCTGAGCTATCACCCACAGTTTCTTCGCTGGAGTGTGCCCGTCACCCCTACAACTGGGCAACCACACTGGTCCCCAATGGGCTAGCCACTATAGGACCCCATAGCATCACACTATTATATCAATCATAATTTAGACGTGTTGCAGTCGCTTGGTTATACTTCGTAAGGCAGTTTGGTGGCGCCGTCGTAGTCCTCTGCAGTGCACTACCGTAGTGGTTATTGGGACCGATAGCTGCATTGGTTCCGCTTAAAACTGTCTCATATTAACACATCAGTATCAGGAGTAGCTAAGCAGCTGGATGCATACAACGAGTGGAGTGGTATCCCTGACTTCCACCGATTTGGACGGGAGTCTTCAATTTTCGCGCAGGACCGTCGTAAGCAGCAAAAAAGTAAAAAAGCCTCAAGATAAGGGCTCCCAGAAAGCCTTCGGGTCAGCTTCCAGGCGTCGTGGGCACAGAGCCACTGGGGAAGGAGCAGACAACAAGAGGCGAACCACGCTCTGTCTTAGGTTAGCTAACTACATGTTTTTCTACTTGCTTGCACGCCATAACTCAGGGGCAAGTAAGTCTTTAACGACTGGGTACAGTGTCCCTCAATCCAGTGAAATGGGGTTTGGTTATGCTATATGGGGATGACGTGCAGCGCGAGTTGCAACAAGGTGTGCTGCAACTCATGAGAGGCCGCGTTCTCTCNGCACTTTCAGCAAGCGTTTACATCAAGTATGCTGCCTCCACTGCAGCTCACAACTGTCGCCGGCCAAGATTGAGGACTCACATTTCATGTAGCGCCAGTCTAAGGGGAGTTTGGGGCCTTAGGGATCATGTAGCCGTCGGAACCTGATCCCACTCACGTCAGTAGATGCACTAGTCTCTGCCAGCAGCACTGCGTCTTGTACCCCCAACGACAACACAAATGAAGATGAAAAACACAATTGTGAGGCGTAGAAGGGATCCAAGTTCCCTCACATGATGGGGTGATGGGATTCCGTATCACTGTAGGTACTGCAGGCCCTGTAAGCTGATGAGAAGTGGGGGAGAGCCCTCAGATCCCTCATGCAATGCTGAGATCTGATCAAGATAACCTAGAGTATTTATCTTTTGTACAAATATTTGCAGTAAGCTTTACGCATTACAAGATTGTATCTATGAAGGGCTACTGTGGGGCGCATCCCTGGAACCCCACAGCTGAGTATAGCGAGCTGGCAAGNTGAGTATAGCGAGCTGGCAAGCAATATCTATCATACTGAACAAAACATATCAAACTAACAAAGGTTAAGGGAATTACTTCCCTCAGCCTTTTCTCTCTCGCTGAAAATTGTTCTCTCTCAACCCCAGTAGAGCAGGCACTGCCGCCTTTGGGGCGGGGGGAGGAGATGGCGCAGCCTGGCGCAATAGCTTTTGCACCAAGGCACAAACCAGCCTCTCTTATAATCATACCAATGGTCATTCCATAAAGAATGCTTAATGCATTCACCAGTGCTATATTCAATGTACATCAATAAGAACTCACAGACACTTTCACTATTCATACAACCCCCACTCATTTCACAACGAGCACGACATTGCCGCCGTGATTGTAGGGAGTATTCACTACATTTCACGTCGCAGCACCGCGCGTTTAGGATGGGCACGCCCGAGCAGAGTACCCACGCCCCGCATTTGGGTGGGCTCGTGTATACCGCTAATTAGTCATAAAGGCGCACTTTTCCGGGAAAGAAAATAAACGTGAGGACAATCTTTATCAAGGAATCAACCTCGTTGCCACTCGCAAATTGGACATCGATCTGAACATGCAGAGGGCAGCCGCTAAGTAACGTGTCGTATTGGAGCGATTGCAGCTTCCGCAGCATCTGCGGCACGAAAATATGAAT